CTATCATTAGTGATATTTTTTTTTTGAACAAAAAATATTATCTACACTAAAAGACAGAAGAATGGGTTAAGCCTCACAATGAACTAGCAATAGTGTGGTTCAAATTCGTTTTGAACGTAAGATCTCTCACTGAAAAAAAAAATACTATTAAATCGTAATACCAAATGATACTAATAGTATTATTTTAACAGGTGAATTAACTATACTGCACGCTTAATATTGAACACCACACAATAATTATACAGAAAAGACAGGCAAGATTTAGGCAAGACAAGTAAGAATAAGCCGTGTATATGATACGTAGTATAAAATCTAAAAATGGCCAGATTCCATATACCATTGTTTGCTTTCTTTCTTTTAAGAGCTTTTGATTTGAGAGTCCCCCGACGACTTCAAGATCGCAAATTTACCCCCCAATTACAGCTCCTCCTGTAACTACAACTACCACTGCACCAACACTAAACCTTCTCTCTCTCTCTCTCTCTCTCTCTCTCTCTATCTCTCCATTTCTTCTTGCATGCTCTGCTCTCTCGTTGAATTTCAATCTCTGCAATTCCATTCCTGCCATGGCTAATAATCTCGCCCCAGGTTCGTTTAATCTTCCTTCCATGTTTTGATTATAATACGATGTTTATGATCATGTTGGTACGTCCTGATTAAAATTGGGATTTCGATCCGTTTGGTATTTATATTAGGAGATTTCACATCTGGGTTCTTCGGGTTACTTTTGTTAGCTGAAAGATTGCAGATTTGCAGAAAAGATTGATGATTTCTGAATTCTTGGGCATTTCTTTGTATTGGGTTTCTGTATTTTTGATCCATCTTTCGCAACAATCAATCTTTTTTCTTTACGTTTTTTATTGAATCCGTTTTTTTTGAAGTGAAAAATTGATGTGATGGTTGTATATGCTTTCTAGTATGCGATTCAGAATCTTACTGTATTGGAAAAACTGTTTCTTGCTTCGTTTGGATTCACTGTGTATTAGGATTTACACTGCGCATGTGTTTGTTTGGTAGTTGATCTGTGATCTGTTTAAAAAATCACAATTAAAACAATAAAGAATTAGTCGGGTAACAGATGCTTTGTATAGATGAACAACTTTTGTTTACTAAACATACAGTTTCGAGTTTCCGAATCACTTAATCTGTAGTTTGGTTTTACAGAATTGGATAAAAGAAGGTGACTTGATTCTAACATAGTCCCACTTGGAGCAACTGTGTGATTTTTAGCTTGCAGTATTGTTTTATTAATTGCATAGACGATAAGAAAGTTTTCGTATTAATTAACTTTAAACATATTCCATGGCGGACTAGTACATGTGCAACATCGTGGCGTGCATATAGCTTGTTGAACTTCTTTGCGGTTTGATTAATACTTCTTAAATGATGTGACTGCAGCTCAGGACAAAAAATTGGTTTTGCGTGAAGATTCTAAAGATGAATCCTCAGATAAAAAAGGAGGGTCACAAGATGACAAGTCCCTGGTTGTTTGCTTCGGGGAAATGCTAATCGACTTTGTGCCCACAGTTAGTGGAGTTTCACTTGCTGAAGCATCTGCTTTTCAAAAAGCTCCTGGTGGTGCTCCTGCTAATGTCGCTGTTGGTGTTGCAAGACTGGGTGGTTCAGCAGGTTTCATAGGCAAGGTGAACTAGATTCTGTCCTCTTTATTATGGATGCTAGTTTCTAAGATAGTTTTAGGGTGGTGCTATCCACACAACCCTCTCAATTTTCGGCCGGATTGAATGAATTGAGGAGGATCTAAAATTAATAGGGGGTGTGTGGATAGTACCACCCTAGTTTTATTGCTTTCTTCATTTGGCCTTTGTCTTTCTTCCTGGGATTTCTGTTATGAAGAAGGATTTCTCTAGTAACATTTTGTTCCACATGTGTAAGACATGAAACATAGAAGGACGTATTCAACCTTTTTTACTGAAACTTCCCAACGGTTCAACTCTATGTTGACTTTGTTGAGCATAACGTGGTTCAAATATGCATCTTTCTCACATTTTGGATGTACCCCATTTCATAATCTCCGGAAATGTAATTCGAACGATGTTTTCTCTCCGTTTCAGGGGACGTCTTTTACATCTGATCTCTGCATTCGGAGTCCTTATTAGTTTTAAATTATATTTTGAACTAACTTCCTTCTCAAATCTGATAAGGACCGTATCTTCTCATGGAACCTAAGGGCTTTTAGTGGCTCCTGACATTGCATAGTCTTAAAGCTTCCAAAGTTTTCTTTATGAAGGGATATTTTAATGTGGGAGGCTCCTTGATTTAACTTATAAAAACTTGTGTTCCAGGTAGGCGATGATGAATTTGGATACATGTTGTCTGACATTCTAAAACAAAACAATGTTGACAATTCTGGTGTTCGATTTGACCCCAATGCAAGAACTGCATTGGCTTTTGTTACACTCAGAGCTGATGGAGAGCGTGAATTCCTGTTTTTCCGTCATCCAAGTGCTGATATGCTTCTACGTGAATCAGAGCTTGACATAAATCTAATTAAGAAGGTGTGGCTTTCTTTTTCAACTTAATTACAAAACAGTGCACACAAAATATGAAGCTTACCCATTTGTTGGAAACTGATTCAGATAATATTGACTGCAGGCAAAGATCTTCCATTATGGTTCAATTAGTTTGATTGATGAACCATGCAGGTCAACCCATCTAGCTGCTATGAAAATTGCCAAGGAGTCTGGTTGCATCCTTTCTTATGATCCAAATTTAAGATTGCCGTTGTGGCCGTCGGAAGATGCTGCACGGAAAGGCATAATGAGTATATGGGATCAAGCAGATATAATCAAGGTATGGTACCTGGAAACACAAAATTCATGTACGGAAGTTATTAGCTGTTGCGTAGTTGTAAATTTTCTGTTTGTATCTTTATCCTTGGTTCTCATCAGGTGTTTTTGTTTGTCAAACTTGCAGATAAGCGAGGATGAAATTAGATTCCTGACTGGTGGTGATGATCCTTATGATGATAATGTGGTGTTAACGAAGCTATTTCATCCCAATCTTAGACTGTTGGTAGTAACTGAGGGTTCAGAGGGTTGCAGATATTACACTCAGGTAGGTTTGTCCCTTTTTTTTTCAGCATCTTTTGTTTCTCGTGGTAAAGAACTCACTTATCATCTTCTTGACTAAAATGGGTCGTTTTTAGAACAATCTTGTCATTGTCCCTTCTGCGTCATATAAGATAGCAACTGTAAAAGTTTGTCATCATGTTGTACTTTTATTTATTGGAATAAATGGGAACCGTTACAAAGTCATCGGTGTCAATACCACGCCATGATTTTATTGTTCAAGAGGCATCTATATTTTTGTTGAAGAAAATTAATTGAACACTCTGAATGTGATTTGCCTTTGAACTTCTCTATCAAAATGATTGGTTATGAGAAAATTGACATCAACTAAATTTCTGTCAGAAATTTCACGGCCGGGTTGGTGGTGTTAAAGTTAAAGCTGTTGACACAACCGGTGCTGGTGATGCATTCGTCGGTGGGGTACTGGACAGCATAGCTTCTAACTTGAATCTTTTTCAGGTAAGCATAGTTCTTCCCGGGATTGAGAAAAATCCATCCATGCATCTTCCGGTAGATTATTTTCATAGTCACTCGAATTTGAATCTCAATCAGTCCTCGTATCTAAATGTTCTGTTCAGAAGATTACAAAATTCTGCTTCCTCTAACAGAAAAAGAAACAATGTAATATTGTTCTTGTACGTAGTCTAGACTGTTGTATGTTTTCATTTTCGATCATCTACCGGCATCTGTATAAATTTCCCGTGCAGGATGAGAAGGGGCTACGAGAAGCTCTACTCTTCGCAAATGCATGCGGTGCGCTCACAGTAACAGAAAGAGGAGCCATTCCTGCAATGCCGACGAGAGAAGCTGTGCTCCAGTGCTTAAAGCAGGCTGCTGAGAAAAACTAGAAGACAATAGTCGGAATTCATGTATCAATCGTAGTGTAATTTGTGTGTTAATTTGAGTTTCTTTGCTGAGATACCATTGAGCTTGTTGCTCCTGGAGACCTCCCTGCTATAAATTTTCGATTCAACCCCACCCTTCGATTTAACTCGGAGGTGTCTCTGTCGTAGGATACACTGGTGCTTACTATGTAAACCACTGCCAATAAAAAATTTCAAGTTCAAATTGTCAGCATCGTAGCTTTTAAAATCGATATAACTCTTCTCTTTAGTCAAAATAGTTCTTAAGATTCATATAACTCTTCTCTTTGGTGCATCAAATTTAAAATCGATAGAAGTGGTCCATGAGTTTGTCCATCTTCAATCATTTTGGCGGTGAACAAACTCAGGGACCCTTCCATCGATTTCAAATTTTAGGGACCAAAATGAGAAACTATGCTAATCTCAAGAACCACTTTGACTAAAATGTCATAACCTACGTTGTTCACTCGAGATTTCACATTTTTCTTAATTTTCTCAATTTAGTCTAATTTGTCAGTTAAATTGAAGAAATTTTGCCTCATCTGACAGATTGGACTAACGTTATCGCAATGCAACTACAAGAATGATGGCGAAAATCCGAGTAAAAAATAGGGAACTTTAACGAAAAAAATTCCGGTACTGTTCACTTTAACAAAAAACCACATTTTTACACTAAAAAGTCAATCATGATACTATTCATTTTACCATTTATTTTGTCCTTATCGTTAAAACTCGAAGTTTTCAAACTTAACTTTTTTCATTAGTTTTGCTTAAAAAAATATTAGTGGACTTACTTAAGGTTAGTTGTACACAAATTAGTTGGACTTTTTAACCACCAAGTTAACGAATGTGATGTCGGCAGCAGCACATGATCTACCTACAAGATCCAACGATCCACGAACGATGGTGTGGATCCAGATCACAGGGGTAGTTTAGACATTACAATTAATCTCGCGGGAATTGTGACCCGCACGTTCGAAACGACCCGAACCCGAACAATGATAAGCCAGCCGTATTAACCAATCACAATCAAACAGTAATTAAGGAATCCAAATAAAAAGGATAATCACGTCTTTTGAAGAGAAAAGGAAGAAGAAAATGAGAGTTTGAATCAGAAGCCATTTGCTTTGGCTTGGGTTGCTCTTCTGATTCAAATTCCAGTTGGAAGAATGGCGTCGAATTCGAATTTGAATCCGTCGCTGCAGCCTGAGATCGGACCCGACGGCCTTGCTCGCGAGGCTTCTGTCATCACCTACACTGAGAAGGTCTTTCTTTCTCTCCTCTCTCTCTCTCTCTCTCTCTAAATTTCTAGGTAATTTGTTGAATGTGTGTTGGTTGTGGTTTTTTTGTTGTTGCAGATAATCGAGAACGAACAGCTTCAATTAAGAAGGTTAGTGTATTTGATTTCAGTGTAATGTATAATGATCGTTTTAGGGAATTATTATTGCTTTAATTGTGCGTTTAATCAGTAATGCAGTGAATTAGGGTTGCTGTAATCTATGAAATGAATCAGATGATCATTGAATGTTGAGTTTTAGTGATGTTTAGAAATGCAAATTGTTTGATGAACTAGCATCCTAGAAATCTGAGTACTTTAGGTATAAACTGTAAGTTAAGAGAGATTTAGTACATTAATTGGATACAGTGGCAATGTGAAAGTGTTTGGTTATCGATTCGAGGATTTTACAAGTTGTGGTCAAGAGGTTTAGGAACTAGGAAAGTCAACATATTGAAAATTGGAAGCTTTCTTCGATTATCTTTGGTCCTTCGGGTTCACATGTTTTTGAGCCTTGAAATTGGAAATGTAGAAGTGTTTGGTAATACATATTTAGAGTTGGGGAGCTTGGGGAAAAGTTGAGTTTTGGATTCTGTCGTCTTTTATTCTTACACTTTTGTGCTTCTCGAGTTTGTTTGAATAGGCATTGCCTTTACTATAATTGTCCGTGTTCAGTAAGATTCGGTGATTTATGATTTGAGACAATTGATTCGTTCAGATATATTGAAGAAAACTATTCTAAAATTCGTGATGTCGAACGAGAGCTGGCACAGTTGTCAATGGAGATGAAACTCACAGCTGGGCCAAAAAAATCAGGTTGCTGCATTATCATTGTTAGTTACTCTCATTCTTTGATTTTATGATTTTTCCTCTTCTTTTGTATCACAGTTGATTGATTGGTTTTTTGCCTTTTACTTTGTGTGTATGGTGCATCTTTTGAAGCTCTTGAACATTTGAGGAAGAAAATAGAGATGTCAACGGAGAAAATTCATGCCGCCAAGCTGAAGGAAGAGCAGGCACGAAAGGTTTGTCCCTTTTAATTATAGAAACGGATTTTCTTTATCCTTACATTGTAAAATTCTGTTTGACGTTCATAAATATTGAACAAAACTCTTTGCCTGTTTCCCAAGTGCTCACGAAAATTAGTACCATTTTCATTCCTCTTGACCAGGATGACCTCGGATATTTAAAGCTCAAAGTTTTCAAATAAATTTGTCTAGTTTTGTCTGATTATTGGTAAGCGTATGATTGTATTCGGTGATGTGGTGGAGTTTCAAGTTGAAAAGTAAGCTTATTAACTATTTAGACCTACCAAACATATTTTATCAGGCCCAGACCCTGCGTAAAGCGGGAGCCTTGTGCACTGGGTACGACCTTTATAGATGAAGGCACATGAATCAAGATTCATCGCAAAAATGGATAGAGATTGATGCTTGTACACACAGCCGAATATGGTTGGGTAAAATCATTTTAATAAGTGCATGAATGTTGTTCCTTATGCAGTCTGATAGCTGTTTGTTTTGATGTATTTCAGGTGTGGGAAGCAGCATTACAGGCTGTAAAGGACGAGGAAGCTATCAAGCAGCAGCTATGTGAAGACTTAAACCAACTGGTATATTTCTTTGTTACATGTGTCCTTGAGGAGGTTACAGACTTGACAAATTATTTTGACACTGTTGTTGTTTCAACAGGTGCAAGAAAGCAGCAGTTCTCAGTTTAATAGACTGGAGGAGTTAAAAAGACGACTTGAAGCTATGAACCCAAGCAGATCATCAGCTTCCGTTTCTCATGTAAGTTCCCATTTTATTTATTTATATTTAGAACATCTTGAATGGGTTGGATGGCATTGCCATTTGATATTAGTTGGCGTAGATTTCATGGTTTTTGAGAATCAACTATTATACCACAGTTTACTCATGGCCCTCGTGTGTGTGTGTGTGTGTAATTCATCAGTATTCAAGGTAGTATTGCATCAGGCCTGTTTATCAGATGAAGAAAAGGTTATTTTCATTACGGTTGGAAAGATACCACATTGGAATCTAGGATATTACATTGGAAGTTTGGAGTAGATTTCATTAGAATCATTACTTCCACACTCATGCCTTGAAATGGTTTGTCAGTAGATGTTCCCACGCCAGTTTTTTCTTCCTTCTTCCAGTGGTACTATGGTTCCTCTTTCTATCCCTGCGTTGGATACTATCTTGGAACTTCATTTGACCTCCGCTATCTCTGTGAAGTCCTTGGTAACCTTGAAAAGAAGCTAAAGAAGAAAGAAAATAGGTTGTCTGACTGTTAGTCTTGGGGATTATGAGCAAGGGTGATTAACCGCCATCCCCTACAATCGACCCGCAAAACAGGCACTTAGAGGCAATGACGAAATGAAAGAAAGATTAAGAATCACCTCTATATAGCTAGATTAATCTTAAAAGACATCCACACATCTAGCACAGGGTGTTGTGGCTCTCAAACGGTAAGATTTGAAGACTTATCCCCGGAAAGGAAAAGAGGATGGCCCCCGGGGGTGGTCAAGGGAGAGGACAAGCCGGGTAAGGAATTATTGTTTGGCCCTTTAGGAGAAACATTAAACCACTTCTTTCCATGAACCATTACATGCAAGAAGCTACTCATACTTTTCGAATATCTTATACTTGGCAACCAACTTGGGTAATTTTCAAATGCTTATATATGTATGTCATAAAATTTAGTATGAAAATGTTAATAGTTTGAGCTTGGAACTGTGTTTAGGATGGGAAATCAATGGGTCCAGATGCTCCTACAGTTCCGGGATCAAAAGAATCAGGTGGAGTCGCTCAAAACATCCCTAATCCAGGAAATGGTGGAAATGTTTCGGTCGCGAACGGGCACAATCAACAGCCTCCGGTTGAGGGAGAAGGAAGAGGAAAGAAGAAAAGTCAGTTCCACGGAAGAGGGAAGGGACTTGGAGCTGTGCCCAAGGGTAGAGGACCTCCTCCGCCGGGATGGACAGGGGCAGGGTTTGATGCTTAGGAGTGTTATTCTCATTCAATTACTGGATATATTCTTTCGTCCATCTTTCTCCCCCTGTATTCTTTAATTGTCTCTAGCATTTGATATGAGAAATGCAAGCTGACCTTTCTAACTTCTCGTTGCTTCTTCGCACCCGTGTATGTTACCAATATCGAGCAAGAATCAATCATGTAGACGTTAATTGTTCATCTCTAAGCTAGACTAAGAAGAGAGGAGAATTTGGATCCGGAACGCAGTAGGTTAGACAATCCATCCCTTGTGATGAGTGATAATTTAGTTTGATTGTTGAAGTTAGAGTTATGCTTTTGACCCTGCGTAAAGCAGAAGCCTTGTGCACTGGGTACGACGTTGAAGTTAGAGTTATGCTTTTGACCAGTCACTCGTTTAGGACATTCAAGTCTTTTCACACGTGTGGAGGTTTATAATATATATATGAATTAGGCAAGAGTAATGTTATTCACACATCTATTCTAACAAATGAGGGTAAACAACTTTTGAAATTATACTTAAATCTGATTGAGATTAATTTTTTCTACAAAAACACAAAAAAAAAAAAAAAAAAAACTTGTGTACAGGTGCCTAAGCCACGTTATTTGTGTGACATTTCTCTCAAAAGTATAGGACTGATTGTACTTTGGTTCCATCTAAACCACACGCAATCTTACTCGGTGTGAGGGTTGCCGTATCAAAATGAGCCTACCGAATATCTGGTCCCAAGCTACAAGGAACTGCTCCCACTTGCTAAGTATAGAGTAGTTTAGATAGACAGACTCATAGGCAGGCTCATTCCATGTCCTAATGCCTCGGCCATATTGCACGGAGTAAGATTCTCTTTTCTCCTTTTACATACTATTTTTTATCTTATTATCTCTATAAAAAATTAATATAAGATGTTAACGTAGCTAAACGGTAACCGTTCAAATAGAATAGAAGGGAAGATGAGAGAAATTAGAAGGGAGAGAATCCTCCTTCATATTGCACAGTCGCGGGCCACCGTAGCCCGACCTTGTGTACGGTAACAATCATACGTCAAAAGACTAGCTGGGATGAAGATGTGTACTCACTACTCAGTAAGTTGGTCAAGCCCCTGTGGTGTCATCAAATTTTCCATTTATTTTGGCATTAAGATCTTCTGGAAGTTAGGCCACACTCCTTAAATTGCCTGCAACTCAAGTCTCCATCATTAGCTTTCCAGTGCCCATCTGCACTCTCTTATTATTTGTCACGTCAAGAGAGTTAATTTGAGGATTTGAAGGACAAATTTTCGTCGGGAAAACGATGAAATTTTGCTAATTAGTTTTAAAATAGAACTTGAACTTGTTACAGTTAGATGTGGTGCACAAGTTCCCATGGAAATCACATTCATGCGTGAGGGTTCATCAAGATCTGGTGGAGTAAATTGTTTTTACACGAAAACATAACGTTAGGTATGAACAAGTACTTGTTTGTGACATTTTAATTTACTCCTATCGCTATCTAATTTCTTGCAACAGTTATAGCATGTTCTTTCCATGCAGAAGGGCACAGGCACTGTCTCGACTGATCCATCCAAACTCTAATAAATTGTGACCTCCATCGTCAGCCTGCCTCATGAATCGCTCGTACTCTTTAGGGTTAAATTGTTTCAAGGGTACGAAATTTTGATAAACTTATTGTGATTATAATATATATCCACACTGTAACATCCCACATCGTCCAGGAGAGTGATCCTTAAATGTATATTCTCATTTCTACTTAGCACGAGGTATTTTGGGAGTTCTGGCTTCGGGTTTCGTAGAAACTTCGAAGTTAAGCGAGAAGGGGGCCAGAGCACTCCTAGGATGGGTGACCCACTGGGAAGTTGCTCGTGAGTTCTTAAAAATAAAACCGTGAGGGAATGGTAAGCTCAAAGCCGACAATATCGTGCTACGGTGGTGGAACGGGCTCGGGAAGTGGTCTGCCCTGGCCGGGATGTGACAAATGGTATCAAGCCTAACCCTGGCCGTGGTGTGCCGACAAGGTCGTCGGGCCCCTTGAGGGGGGTGGATTGTAATATCCCACATTGCCCAGGGGAGTGATCCTTAAATGTATATTCTCATCCCTACCTAGTACGAGGCTTTTTTGGAGCTCACTGGTTTCGGGTTCCGTAGGAACTTCAAAGTTAAGCGAGAAGGAGGCCAGAACACTCCCAGGATGGATGATCCACTGGGAAGTTGCTCGTGAGTTCCTAAAAACAAAACCGTGAGGGAATGGTAAGCCCAAAGTGGACAATATCGTGCTACGGTGGTGGAACGAGCCCGAGAAGTGGTCCGTCCTGGGCCGGGATGTGACACAGACACTTGAAGGGAAACTTAGAAAAATACAGATCCATAAACTTCAAGTCTTTGCCCCCAAACACTTAAACATCATTTAATTGGATGCAGTCAAACCCTCAGATCTCCCACCCTATTTATCTGCATCATCAGGACCAATAATTAAACCCTATGTATATTATATATGCACCAACCCACATGCATGACAATGTATACGTGTTATTTGCATATCATTTTATTTGAATTTCCTATATATTTGCAGCACGTTTTAGCTCACTGCCATGATATGTTATGAGATCTCTACAGGTATATGTAAGATTATTATTGGAAACATTAAATGGCAACTAAATCCCTATATTATCATAAGCTTTCATTTTGTCAATGGTTGTAAGTTGTGTTGGATTCAAGATTTTAATATTGGGTAGTCTTCTCTTTTTTACTACTTGTTCATAGTGTTGGATGGTCCTCAAAAGTCCTCACAGGCGTTTCTCAAACTTTCAGGTGATCCCGGAAGCCGGGATCAACTGAGTCCATAAATGAATCCACCCATTGTGAGGACTTCCCTTATCATTTAGTTTGGAACCTTACTTACTAAATGACTAGCATGTTATAATAATAGCCCATAAAAAAAAGAAAAACTAATGAAAATGACTTGAAAACTTTGAGTTTTAATGATAAGGACAAAATAAAGGGTAAAGTGAATAGTACCAGGATTGACTTTTTAGTGTAAAAATGTAGTTTTTCGTTAAAGTGAACAGTACCGGGTGCTTTTCGTTAAAGTTCCCTAAAAAAAATGCATAGGAATCTTTGCAGTTATGCCCCCTATAATCTTGATTATGGTGATTTTACTTCCTCTAGCCTAGTTAATTAAGATAAGCTTCCCTAGCTAGAATTAGAGGGGCAGAGAGTAGTGTGAGTAGTGTTTTTTTTTTATAAAATTTGCAGTATGCGTCCTTTCCCCTGTCTAGGCCACACTGTTTTGTTTAGGCCCGACATGTGACCCTGTGGTCGACATAGTTTTTTTTTATCTGATAGACAATAATATTTTTAAAATTTAATGATTAATTAGATATAGCACTTAATAATAAAATTTAGTGATATTTCTCTACATTCATAAGCGAAAAGTTATTAAGTTTGATTTACATAAATGACAAGTGTGATATTAAATTATTATAACGATTTCGTATATACATAAGAGTTTGGTTGCATTGTGTGCATATAGTTGAAACACATTTTTTTTTAATATTTCAGGCGCACTTTGTGCATAAGTTGTGCATTTTTTAACACAATTCTTCTCTATGTAATTTATATAGGATATTACTGTTATTCGCAACTCTGGTTTATATTTGCCCTCAAAACCTCTTTTAGTACAATAAAAATCAAGTGTCATCTTTTTCAGCAAAGTAGAGATTGAGTGTCAATGAACCAAAGATATACTTGTATCTATCAGAGAACAACTATGTTTTTTTTCTTCTTTTTAACAAACGATATCATTTACACTAAAGGGAAGGGGGTGGGTTTAACCTCACAATGAGCTAGCAATAATGTGGTTCAAATTTACCTTCGGCGAGAATCGAACCTAAGACCTCTCTCTTACAAGTAAAGAGGAATACCACTAGATCATAGTACTAAGTGGCGAGAACAACTATGTTAAATAGACGAGTAAATTGTCGTTTGACCCCCTGAACTCTTGCTCCAGTTGAAATTGACCTCTTGAATTATTTTTTGGTAAATTAACTCCCTAAACTATTTGAAATAAGCCAATTAACCCCTTGTCGTTAGATTTCGTCCATCATTCTGTTAAATTCAAGGGCAAATTAGTCTTTTTATCATCAATTCTTACATGTCACTTATAACCACCAATAAAATTAGGGTAAATTACATAGTAGCCCCTCAGGTTTGAGGTCTATTACAACCTCATACAACAACTTTGAAACATTTCATTTTCATATATCAAGTACCATTTTATTTCAAAATAATACATCCGTTAGATTTTCCGTCAATTAATCCATTAAATGCTGACGTGGCTGCTACATTTGTGCCACGTGGCAAAAATAATAATTTTTTATTTTTTTTAAACCTAAATCTTCTAAATTAAAAATAAAAATAAAAATAAAAAAAAATAAAAAAAAAAACTGAAACTTTATCCCTCCTCTTCCTACTCTCTTTTCCCATCAACCCACACCATCTTCATCTTCTTCCCTGCAACCCAGGAGAGAGAGAAAGAAAGAAAAAAAAAAGCCCTTCAGTTTGTCTTCCCCACCCCTCCTCCTCCTCCTGTCTTCTCCCCCATTTTCATATTCTTCCCCCGACCCCCTACTTGCAACCCAGGAAAAAAAAAAAAAAAAACCCAGATCCCGTCATCGCCGGGGTCGTGAGGTGGGAGGAATGGGTGGGATTTAAGGAGTGGGGGTGTATAGAGGAGGGAAAGGGTGGGTGCGGAAGGGGGTTGAGTCGCGGGGGAGGGAGGGGGGTTTTTTCTTTCTGGGTTTGGGGGGTTTGCGGGGGCAGGGGGTGGATTTTTTCTTTTGGGTTGGGGGGTTCACGGGGGTGGAGGATGGTAGACGATGCATGGGATCTTGGTTCGCGCAGGGGGAGGAGGGGGGGATCTGGGTTCGCGCGGGGGGAGGGGCGGATTCTGGGTTTCACGGGGGGAAGATAAGGAGGGGGGTTAATGGGATCTGGGTGTGGGGGGATATGGGATTGGGGTTCTTCTTCTTTTTCATTTTTTCTGGGTTTTGGGTTGAAGGTGCAGGTATGAGTTTTGGGCTGAAGGTGTAGGTATGGGGGCGAGGAGATGGGAGGAAGAAGAAGGAGGAAGAA